TGGCACAGGATAGAGCAGGGTTTAGGGCTGTTGTACATAGGGTCGCTATGAGTCACAAACAACTTGACGGCACATAACAACAACAACAACAACAACATATCATTCACTCCATTTTCCCCCCACACTCAGCTTATATAAATATCTAGGCAAATGGTTTCAACTACTCCTTAATCACAATTTCTCAGTTCCCACCAGGTTTTTATAATAACTTTTAAAATCTTATGAACTTTCATGCATACATATACAATCACAAGTGTCTGTCGCCTACTACAGTCTGAGGTTCCTAAGTGGTATATACTTTTAATGCACTCAGTTACTAATTAAAAGAGAGTATTGGTAGCCTAGTGGTAATGAGTTGCATTGCCAACCCAAAGGCACAATGTTCAAATCTAGCTGCTCTGTGGCAGAAAGATAGGCAATCTCCTCCTGTGCAATTTCCTGTCACTGAAAATGCACCGGAAGGTCAGCTATGAGTTGACTCCAGTTTAACGGTACTTAACAACAACTAACCAAAAGAAGGTTGGAAGTTGGAGTCCCCCCTGAGGCTTCTTGAAGAAAAGACCTGGCAATCTACTTCAGAAAAATCAGAAATTGAAAACCCCATGGAGCACAGCTCTACTCTGACACAGACAGGGTCACCATAGCCAGAATCAACTTGATGATTAAATTGGTTTCTAGAGATAGGTAAAAAAATGGTTTATAAAGGTCTATGGTGGTTCAGTGCTATAATTCTCATCTGTCACATGGGAGACTGAGGTTCAATACCCAGCCAATTCACCTCATCATGCTCAGCTACCACACAAAGAGGGTTGCAAGTTTTTATAATGCTAAGTATGCTTCAGTGGATCTTCTAGGCTAAGCTAGATTAGGAAGAAAGTTATGGCAATCTACCTCCAAAAGTTAGCCTAGGTATCAAAACAGTCATAATCAGATGAGTTGATGACTCAACAACAGTAGTTATCAACAATTATTTCTATAGTCTACCCAGCAGATTCAAACTACCCTCACACATAATCTCATTTAATCATGTCATCTTCTGCTGAACATAGTTATTGATTTACAACTGTTATGACAGTATCTTACTATGTTTCACAAACAATCACATTTTCTCCCACATAAGCCTGCATCACTTCATCTCATAGGAACAGTTTTATAAGCTATTAATAGCCATTCATTGAGTACCTCATTAGTTGCCATTGAGTTGACAATGACTCAAAGTGACCCATTCTATAAATAACAGATCTGAACCTTGCCCTATCCTGAGCCATCCTTACAATCTCTGACATGCTCGAGTTCACTGTTACAGTTTGTAAATCTATCTTGTTGATGGTCTTCCTCTCTTTCTCTGACCTGTCACCCTACCCAGCAGGATGTTTTTTCCGAGGACTGGCCCCTCCTGACAGCATGCTTAAAGTATGTGAGTTTCACCATCCTTGCCCCTAAGGAACACCTTAGTTGCACTTCCTCCAAGACAAACTTGTTTGTTCTTTTGGCATTCCACGGGATAGCCAGTACTCTTCTCCAACACCAAAAGGCACAAATATTAATTCTTCTGTCATCCTTAGTCATTGTCCAACTTTCAGATGTATAGAAGTAATTGAAAAGGCCATGGCTTGAATCAGGTGTACTTTAATCTTTAAACTGACATCATTGCTCTTCAGAGAGGTCCTTGATAATAGATTTTCCCAACATGACACATCTTTTGATTTCTTAGCTGCTGTTCTCATGGGCATAATTGTGAATCCAAGTGAAATGAAGTCATTGGCAACTTCGTTTCTTATTGATCCAGTGGTGAGGATTTTTGTTTTCTTGATGTGAAGATGTAATCCATATTGAAAGCTATAATTTTTTATCTTCTGCAGCAAATGTTTTAAGTCTTCTTCACTCATCTGAGTGATGCAGGTTGTTGGTGTGTCTTTTCCCAATTCTGATACCACATTCTTCTTCATATAGTTCAGTTTTCTGAATGATTTGCTTAGCATCCAGATTGAATAGGTATGGAAAAAGGATATAACCCTGACGCACACCAATCCTCATCTTAAACCATGCAATGTTTCCTTTTAGAATTTCTTCCACATTTTAATCATTCAGTCTTAAAGTGATTTTTCTACCACAAGGTCACACTTTCTCACATAAACACAAAGTAAAAACGTCTATTGTCACTGTGGGACTAGAAGAACTAAATGGTGCTTAGGTTCTACCACTGATCACTCTAAAAGGGATCATAGCAGAAGATCCTCAATAGAGTTAGGGAAAATGTGAAACAAAATATAAGGTGGCCAACAACACTAAGGAGGCACTTATTTCTTAGAATAACCAATCAGATAAGGTCAAAAGAGCAATATTTGTCTATAAATAAAGTCAGAAGGGTGTGATTATTCTGTGGATAAAGTAATGTTATTAATTAAATATGAATGACTAAATGTAAAACTATTTTTAAAATATTCATTCAAATAAAAAATAAATGTGAAAAGAAATTGTGGTCCAATTGAATGGATTAATAAATTATGGTACTTTCACATGATGGAATACTACACAGCACACAGGAGCAATGATTTTGTAAATGACTAACTTGGGAGGGATTGGAGAACATTATGCTAACTAATTCAGTCCCATAAGGACAAATACTGTATAATGCTATTATTGTAGAAATAGATAACTAGTAAAATGTGTATGAGGATCTAAGGGGGGGAAGGGGAGAGCAGAGGGAGGGATGGTTTAAGGAAATGGGAAAGATCTGGTGTGAAAAACAATGTATACAAACTTTGCAAGTAAACCAGAATAAAAAATTTTTATAAAAAAAGAAATTATGGTCACAACTTCTATGATGTTTTATATACAATCACAGCTTTTTACACACTGTTGTCAATTTGTAGTCTCTACTACTGTCTGTGATTCACATTTGTCTCATACTCTCATCACATTTCATACAAAGTCAAGTCTACCACACTCAGTCTTGGCATAGGGGAAAAAAATTTCAGCAGCCTCTGGCATCACATTTAAAAATATATATTTACAGGAACAATTCCCCATTCTGATATTCTTTGTTGTTTGTGTGGGGGGGGGAGATTCATTTTGGGAAAGTAAAACAAACAGTGGAGACAGGCATAGCACCGTCCCCCAAACCATCAACTTTCACCTTCAGGCTTGGGCTTTGGCCGACAAATGAACCTAGGAGTCCTTCGAACCCATTCTCTCCAGCCTTGAATTGACATAGGACAGGCTTTGTCCCCTACTCCTCCCTCCCAATTTCAGAGACGCTTAAAGGGTCCTTTGCACCTGCCTGCAGGAAATTGGAGGATAGGGAAGGAGGGAACTGAAAATACTTATTTGGTATCAAAAATAAACACTTGAGGGTGGTAGGAAGATCCCCCAAATCCCTTCCTTCCCACCCACTCCCAAATCAGATACAGGAAGAGATGCCCTCTCTCCCTTATTGAAAAGCCCTGTTTAAAAATAGATTGTACTATCAAAATCGCTGGGGTTAGGGAGACAGGATATGTGGAGCACTGGTTGGAGGGCCCCCCAGACGGGGACTACTCCAAAAATAACCACTCCATTGGGAGGTCAAAGGACCCTAGGGAGTTTGGCAGACAAAGGAATGGCTTCTCAGGGAGGGGAAAAACAAAGAGGGCATTGCTCCCTTGTCAGAGAGTTGGCTGAAAAAAAGAAAAGCTGTTCGAAAGAAAGGTTAGGAAGGCAGAAAATCCTATCTAAGGGTGTGGCTCTTCCTGAGACTTTCAAACAATTAAATGTTGCAAAATGTTTTTTAGAACATTGGGGTTAAGTCAGGAATTATAAAACAACCCCTCTAAAAAGGAGACAGGATCTCATCCACGGGCTGGCTGAGAAATAAAGAAATGTTTTTCTCATGCCAGATCCTGAGCGTCTCATCTTTGGGGGATAATGTATTAATGAGGGGTGATATCATCACCTATCCTCACCCTAAAAAGGAGGGCCAGGCTCCTCCCAGTGGTCTTCAAAAAATAAATAAATAAACAAACCATCCCTACTACTAAAGTAGAAGACGAGTAAGGGCGGCCACTGAAAAGGGCTGGTAAAGAAGTAAGAAACTGTGTTCTTTCTCTGTGTGTGTACACACATGACTGGGGGGGGGGTACTGAGAGATTATTCTTCCTAAGACTCCCCATTCCACCACACCAGACCAGAGCATGAGCTTGTTAGTTGAATTAGTTCATCTTCTTTAGAAGGCTGGATGGAGAGATGATTGGAGAAATGGATGGAGTAACACCAGCAAAAAGTGGTGATAATCATGGCTTCTGGGGCCCTGGGGACAGCACCACAGGGGTCGAAAGGCCATCCATGCTGATGGAAGGAATGTGCACCTGGGTGCTGCCACTGGCTGGAAACTGGAGGCAGAAATAGGGAAAAGCCATAGATTAAGATTATGTTAGGATTTCTCACCCTTACCAAAATGGGAGAAAGTGATCCTACCTGGAAGGAGAGCTTGGCCGGACTACGGGGTGCAATAGGACTCAGGGTGCTCCAAAAGTGAATGCTTGAGGGCAGTGAGCTGGGCGTCAGTAGCACCGGAGTCTGTGACAAGGGTGGTTGGAATTCAAGTGAGCAGATGTCAGAAAGAAAGATAGTTCCCAGATTTTCCACTTAGACTCCTGAGGTCACTCAAATTTTCACAGGCTTAGACACTAAGGCCTTACTTGCTGGCATCTGTCAAACTTTATGCAGATACCTCCCTACATCTGCAACTCCTGAGGGCTCACTCCCAGTTTCTGAGCCGGCACTGGGCAAGACCACCCAGAAAACTCCCTTCACATTGCTGCTTTGAAATCTCAAATCATTGTCACCATTTCAACAGCTCAGGTCCAGCCTCCAGCTCTCATGCCTCACAGGAATTCCTCCACTAAAGCCAAACCAAAGACAAGCAGTTAGAATCTACCAGCTGCTCCTAGGAAAAGGGGAAAGTATTTCCTTACATGTGATTTAGAGCCTCTGAAAACCTGAAGAGTCAGCTTTGAGTTGGTTCCGACTTAACAGCAATGAAAATAAGGCTCCTTAACCCAGAATCAGTTCTTACAGACGCCTATCTTCCTGCACTGAAGTTTCATTTGCCCTTAAACAAACCCCATTCCTGCTCTTCACTAGGTCCCACCCTCTCGCTTGCCCGCCAACTGCCAATCCCGTTAGTCCAGCTTGCCAGCTTTGTCTCTTGGTAGCACTTACCAATGTGTGCGTCGGTAGCAGGGACGGTGTCAGTGCCGGCCCTGGAGCCTGCAGGCCAGAGCCAATTCCAGATCCCGGAGTACGTTCTGGTCCTAGCCCACCCAGCAGGCCTGGGCCAAGTGGCAGCTCCAAGTCCCGGGGCTTCCGGCCCTTTAGCGGCTGAGCGCTCTCAGTGTTGGAAGCTGTGGCAGATGCTCGGTCGGAGTCTTGTTTGGCAGTCTCCATAACGACCGTGGGAAGGACTTCTGCCCCAACCTTAATGGTTTCCGATACAGACCCCGCCTCCCTACTGTTTTCGGCCTCCAACTCTTCTTTGGGCCCATCCACCTTCACTTCTGGGGGCAGTGGCCAGCCCAGCCCTGGTTCCTTAGTCATCTCTTCCGATTTCAGGTTCGAGGCCTCGGGAGGGGTCAGGATAACCTGGGAGAGGTGCAGGTGCAGAGGGGGTGCATAAGAACTCAGGTGGATGGGGGCGCTCTGGTGGCCTAGTGGCAAGGAGCTGCAACTACAATCCCAGAGGCACACGGTTCGAATCCACCAGATACTCTGCCGGGAAAAGGAGGGACAATCTCCTCCTGTACCAGTCAGATCTGATTTGACGGTACACTTACACAAAAGTAATAAAATTTAAAAAAATTAAAAAAAAGAACTCAGGTGGTAAGGTGTGTGGGGAGATGTTATGCTCTTCAACCAGTCATCCACTGAGTTCTCTTGGAACGTGAGACTTCCAACAGGATTTGGCTCTAGAGTGGGGCTTCCTCTGGGGCAAGTCCTCTTGGAAGTAGGGCACCTGGGGCAAGACAATCTCATGGAGGTGGATCTCCCAGGTAGACCTCTTAGTTCATTAAAACAGTGGTTCCCAGGCATTTGCTCCATGAACTACCATAATCTAACTCATTTGTAACTGTGCTAAAAATCCTAGTTTTGGGGTCTCTGTCCACACTTAATCAGAAACTCTGTGGGTAGGGCCCAGCCATGTGTTTAAAAACTCTCCAGGTGAGTTTGAAGAGTGTTTGTGAGAACTCATGTGTCAAACACGTCCAAGGCACCTACTGCACAGTGGGCTGCACACTTCATCTCCCTATCATTCTTAGGACTCCCACAGCTCTCCTCCCACCACTCTCTCCAATGGGACTTCTGGGTCCATCCTCTCACCCCATCTCCTCTAATAGGGCTCATTTGGGAATTGCACCTCCCTCCTCCTCACCCTCTCTTATTGAATTTCCAGATTCCAGTCCTCACCTGCAGAGGCAGGCCAGCCTCCTCTGCCTCCAGGCAAGCCTCCAAGAGGCTTGGACTGGTGCTACTGTTCCCTGAAGGAGGTGCTGCTGCTCCTGCAAAGGTGGTGCTGGGGAGCACTGAGGCAGGCCGAGGATGAGGGGGTAGATGAGGCAGGGGCTGTGGCTGCAGGGACTGGATGGTGAAGGTGGAATAAAGGCCTGAGCGCATGTACTCGTTCCGGCTGCTGCGTGCCAAGCCGCCTGGGCCTGCCATTCCTGTGCCTTTGGGTGTTCCTGGCTTCCCTGAGGCAGAGTCCCCAGGGGCAACGTGTACAGGAACAGAAGCCACATTTGCTATGGAGGCAACAGACACCTCAGGCTGGGGTGGGCAATCCTCAGTGGTGCACCCTGCGACCTCAGGGTAGGACACAAACTTGTAGACGAACTTCTGGCCGCTCACCTTGCGGATGATGTTCTGGTAAGGGAGGAGAGGGTATAGGGACTTAGAGGAAAGGGGCAAAATAGAGAGGTGTGGGTGGATGAGGATGAGGTGGAAGAGGAGTTGTGTGCCTCTCTTCTAGTGTCTTTATTCCTACTTGCCCTTTCTGTCTTTTTATGTACATACTCTCCCTTCTTCATGTCTGTCTCCATGTATTTCCCATTTCTTTCCATTTTACACTTCACCAAACCCTTTCTTAAACCCCTTCTTCAAGTCTTTTCATCCTCTTCCTCAGATTCTTTCTGTTTCTCTCCCCAGCCTCTACCTTCTATATCCTCCCCTCAACAATTATGTCTTTAGTCTATTGCTCTTTTCTTCTTTTCCTGTACACTTTCTATTTTTCTTTATCACTTATTTCTTGTCTCCTCTCACTTTTCTTATCCGTCTATCTGACTCCACCATCCATCTCAAATATACACAGTCTCCTCTCCACGATGGGTCCATCTGGGGGAGTAGGCACAGGCTCCAAGAACAAAGGAGCCTATAGGCTGACAGGCTTAGGCCTTGGGAGTGGCTGCCAGGACAAAGTTATAGAGGCTTACAAATGCAATAAGGTAGGGAGGGAAATTAAATAATAGGTGTAAGAGTTGGGAGAGATCAAGCTAATGTGATGAATTATTAATATAAGAGGATTATTTAAAGCTTTTGATATAGAAGTGGAAGAGTAAATGTCAGTTGAGAGGACATGGTAAGGAAGTCTCATCAATACTGTTGTAGCAGTTATAGCTAAAGAAATAATAAAATTATGTAACTGGGAGCAATAAGAGAAGAATGTAAAATACTGGTTGACACTAGGAAGCAGAATCTCAAACCTGGCCCGAGTGGGTCCCAGAGTATGTCTGGGATATTTCAGGACTGATCTGGAAGAACGTATGGATGCTCTGTTGGTCCCACAAAACTTCATCAGTAACATACTTAATTATGGTGACAATCCAAAGACTAGATTGTTATGTGAAAATTGGCATTATGTGAAAATAGAAGACAACTACTATATTACATAACTGCCAACCAATTTGCCCCAGCCAAACTGACATCTTAACTGCCACAGTCAGCATTATTGTTGCCTCACACCTCAGTATTCATATTATTCCAGATGTAAAACACTATTGTGCAAAATCAGATTTTTTTTACTATCGTAAATATGAAATGTCAGATAACAATATAGTTAAGTGAGTTGTAGGTGTATTGTTTTAGAGGTTTAATTTAAAGGAATAAAATGTAAAAATGAATAAATGTTATCAATATTAAGGATGTGCAGCACAGGTCTAGAGATATTCTAAGTACAAGAGGAACCTGGGGGTTCCTGGAGCATTCTGAGAGTACATCTTAATGTTTCTGAAGTATGTCACAGGGTGAATATGCTTTCTCAGAAAAAGTATGAAAAAAGATTGTTTCTGAGATTTTAACTAATGAACAATTAGTAGAAATATTTGCAGCACTGATCTAAAAGGATAAGATTAGGAATATTTAAAATTTTAGTTACAGGAATAAGGTGACTAACATACATTTTGAAGTAGACCAGTGCTACTGTGGGGATCCAAGAGAATGGTGTATATAGCTAGCACTAAATATCATTTTGAGGTTTTATTTAAAGGGATAAGGGAAGAAAAGAATTTATTAAAAACATTGGGATCCTAGAAGTTGGTATGAGGAAAAGTCAGTAGAATATAGTCATGAAACTTACGATTCCTGGAAGAATAATATGATATGGGGGATCCTGCACTGGTCCAGAGTTTCCAGAGCACAGAAAAAGGAATGGTCATTATTAAGAGTGTTTTCAAAGTTTTGCCTTATAGGAGTAAGGCAATAAATGAAATGTATAGGATATGGTGAGACAGCACTACTCTGGAGATCTCAGATCAACACTAGTATTACTATCAATGTTTTAGTCAAAGCAGTAAGACAAGATAAATAACTGACATAAATGTTCAGGACCCAACATTGGTCTGAGGGTGCCAGAGGATGGGATAAGAATTGGCAATTTTTAATACTGTTGCAAATAAGAAATGTTGGCGATTCTCAGCACTAGAATTAGAGAACTTACCTTGTCATAGTAGTAGCGCAAGGCCCGGCTAAGCTTGTCATAATTCATGTTAGTCTTGTTCTTGCGCAGTCCCCACAGTCGGGCCACCTCCTCTGCATCCACCAGCTTGAACTCACCACCATCCCGTGAGGTCCAGGAAATGATATGGCCATTACCTTGCTCTCTCAGTAGCTGCAGTAGAAACTGCCACAGTGTCACAGATGGGTCCATTGCTAGGGTAGTGTTTATGCCATCCCAGGGGTCTTGAGGGCAGACAGCTCAGAGCTGAGATGCTGTGGACACAGAATAGGGATAGAGGTCAGCAGGAAGAGGAGTCCTTACTTGTCATCTTGCTTCCTCAAACTAAATTCTAAATTCCTTAATCTGATTTTGGATAATTCTTGTAATGGCATTAGATTTCTGGGGACCTTGGATAGTGTGAATGTATTCTGCATTCAGGACAAATGCTATTTTTTTCTATTTACATTTTATTGATTATGCAAAGGCATTTGACTGTGTGGATCATAACAAAACATGGCTACCATTGAGAAGAATGGGAATCCCAGAACACTTAATTGAGCTCATGCGAAACCTATACCTAGATCAAGAAGTTGTGCAAACAGATCAAGGGAACACAACATGGTTTAAAATTGAGAACGGTGTCTGTATACTGAGCTAATTATTTGGGAAGCTAGACCCTATGAAGAAAAATGTGGCATCAAGATCAGAGGAAGACTCATTAATAGCCTGCATTATGCAGATGACACAGCCTTGCTTGCTGAAAGTGAGGACTTCACGTGCTTGCTGCAGAAGATCAAGGACTGCAGCCTTCAATACAGACTGCATCTCAATGTCAAGAAAACAAAAATTTCCATCACAGGACCAATAGGCGACATCATGATAGATGGAGAAAAGGTGGAAACTATCAACAACTTCATTCTTACTTGGGTCCACAATCAACATCTTTGGTACCAGCAGTCAAGAGATCAGGAGACATACTGCACTGGGAAAGTCTGCAGCCAGGGATTTCTCCAAATTATTGAGGAGCAATGATGTCAGTTTGAGGATTAAGGTATGTCTAATTCAAGCTATGGTCTTTTCAGTAACTTGCTATGCATCTGAGAGCTGTACTATGCATAAGGAAGAAGAACTGATGTTTTTGAGCTGTGGTATTGGAAAATAGCTCTGAACATCCCATGAACTGCCAAAAGAACAAACCGATATGTCTTAGAGAAAGTGCAGCCAGAATGCTTCTTGTAGGCAAAGATGATAAAGCTTCATCTGACATACTTCAGACATGTTGGTCAGAGAGGCTATTCCTTGGAGATGGACATCATCTTGGAAAGGTGGAGGGACAACTAAGGAGAATAAGACCCTTAACCAGGTGGATTAACACAGCAACTGCAGCAATGTGCCCAAGTGTGTCAGAGAGTGAGAGAGATGGCACAGATCCGCTGTTCATAGGGTTGTTATGAATCGTACTTGTCGCAATGTCGCCTAACAACAACAACAAAGAAGACACAAAGCCTTTGAGCTGTGGAGTTGAAGAAGAGAATCGAGTGTCTTATGGATGGTGAAAAGAACCAAGATGATGTGCCTAGATGAAGAGGAGCTAGAGTGCTGTGCAACAGTGAGCATGGTGGATTTTGGCTCGCATCTTTTAGACTTGGACCAGGACATCATGCTCAGTAAAACAGGTCAGTAGAAGAGAGGATGACCCTGAAGTAGGTAGGTTGACACACTGGGTATAACATGGAGCTGAAGCATAGCACTGTGGGGACGGGGCAGGACTGGGCAGGGCATCCTCCTGTTCAACATCGAGTTACTGAGTCAGTCAGCTGGGCCTAACAACAGCTGACTGAACATGTCACACTCATGCCCCTCTGCTAGGAACTGGTTTTCTCTGTCTGAATGGTGTGCTAAAGTCAGGACTAAGGGGGGCTTAAATCCACTTGGAAATTCCCCATCTTGATTAAAGAGCTGAGAAGAAAGGCTCTTGCATGTTTTCCCTGCTCGAGTGTGGCCGGATGGTGACATGACGCTTGGAGCTGTGGCAGTTCTTTTGTGACCATGATGGAAGGTCAGGAAAATGCCACCATGGAGCCTCCTGGCCAATGCCCAAATCAAAATCACCCTGTCAGCCAAACAACCCATGACTGGGAAAGTCTCTGATCCTCAGTTCTTCCACACAAAATACCCCAACAGGTGTTTAATGACAGGTACTGTTGTTCTCTTCTTCAGGAACCAAATCACAACTCCCTCTAAGTTTAGCAGGACACATGCCTCACCAGGGCACAAAGGAGCTCTGGCAGCATAGTCCTAGGAAGTAGAGACACAGCCTTCCCTGCAGCTGTGACTTCATTCTGGCCAGTGGGATGTGAGCAGATTGAAGGCCTGCAGTGTGACTAAGGCCTGGAAAATGGGATAGGATCAGAAGTGACTTGACAAGTTCTGGTCTGGGCCTCCAAGAGAAGCTGACTGAGCCCAGGGCACAGGGGTCACCCTGTGAGCTGCAAGGTCTGGTCATCAACGTGGGTCATGGCCTCGTCATGCATGACCTGGCCTCCCAGGCCAAACTCCAAGTGGCCCTTGTTCAAGAGCTGGTGGACCTGACGTTTCTGCTCCTCTGAGGCCACATCACTCTACCACAGCCAGAACTTCTGCTCCACAGTGATGAAGCAGCACTGTGGCCAGCAGGTCAACTTCTCCACCACGGACATGTAGATGTTAGCTGCATATGCCCGCATACTCTCCTGGACCATGTATATCCAGCCCACGTCCATGTGGCTGTGTGGCACCATGATGGCCCAGATGAGACCCATGGACTGGCCCCCCAGTGGCCACAGTAGGGCCATCTGCCAGCAGAGGGGCCCCATTGCTGCCTGGGTCTATGCGTGGCCAGACAGGGGCCACAAATGTGAATGTGTTGTTGTTGTTTGGTGCTGTTTAGTATGACTCTTAGTGACCCTAAGAACTACTGGTCTGAACACCGCCCTATCCCATGCTATTCTCACATTCAAGCACATTGTCGCAGTCACCATGTTGACCCATCTGGTTGAGATTTTCCTCTCTTTCGCTGCCCCTCCACCTTTCCAAGCATGATATCCCTTTCCAAGGAATAATCTCTCCTACCATTATGCCCAAAGTATGTGAGACTAAGTGTTATCTTTGCCTCCAAGTAGCACTCTGGCTGCACCTTCTCTAAGACATACCTGTTTGTTCTTTTGGCAATCAATGGGATCTTCAGGGCTCTTCAACACCACAGTTTAAAGGCATCAATTCTGTCAATCTTAGTCAAAGTCCAGCTCTCAAATGCATAGCAGTGACTGAAAAGACTATAGCCTGAATCAGGCACATCTTTGTACTCAAACTGACATCATTACTCCTCAATAATTTGGAGAGTTCCCTAACTAAAGATTTTCCCAGTGCAATAATATCTTCTCATCTCCTGACTGTTAACAAGTGTATTGATTGTGGATCAAAGTAAGATGAAGTCATTGACAGTCTCAATCCTTTCTCCATCCATCATGATGTTTCTTATTGGTTCAATGGTGAGAATTTTTGTTTTCTTGATGTTGAGTTCTAATCCATATTGAAGGCTGCAGTGTTTAACTTTCTGCACTTTCAGCAAGTAAAGTTGATGAAACTTCCTTCAATCCAATCCTGATGCCAAATTTTTTCCATAGAGTCCAGCTTATCAAATAATTTACTTAGCATATAGATTAAATAGGTATGGAGAAAGGATACAACCCTGATACACACCTTTCCTAATTTTAAGCCATGCAATATTCCAATGATCTGTTTCTAGGTATAGTTTTTGCACGAGCACAATCAAGTGTTCTGGAATTCCCATTCTTCTCAATGTTACCATAATTTGCTATATTTGTGTAGGTCCAATCTAATCACATGAGCTTTTAAAAAGAAATAGGAAAACAAAAGAAAGCTCAGAGAAATTAAAGGACTGAAGAGATGGGGCAAATTCCAGGCATGAGGACTCACTCTATTTGCTGTTGTTGGCTTTGAAGCTGAAGAAGGAGCTAAAGAATGAATGCAGGCAGCATTAAAACTGGGAACCTCTTAAAACTGACAGCAGTATTCGGCTGACTCATGAATTTTTTTTTTAGTCAGAATCAACTCATAGCTGACCCTTCATTGACTTTCCAAGGCTGTAAATCACATGGGAGGAGATTGCTCATCTTTTCCGATGGAGGTGCTGCCTTGGGTTTAGCAAGGGCACTCCCTACACCACCAGAGCCCTCCTCATCTGAGAGCCTGTAAGCAAACAGAAACCTCAGCCTTATAATTGCAGGGAACTTAATCCTGCCAGCAACCCAAACAAGCAGGAACTGGTCCCTCCAGCTTCAGAAAGGAATATAGCTCTGCTGACACCTTATCTGACCTATTAAAAAAAAAACACCAAAAAACAACTTTGTGTTTTTTAAGTGAAGTTGGTGATAATTTGTCACAGTAGGAAAAGAAAACTAATATAACCTCCTTTATTTCAACTTTATAATTTGTCTTCTACCACATCAAATTAAGTATTTTGCTTATACTGAATTATATCAAATTAAGTATATTGGATCCAAGTTAAGATGAAACCGTTGACAGTTTCAATCTTTTCTCTATCATGATGTAGCCTATTGGTCCAGTGGCAAGGATTTTTGTTTTCTTGAGGTTGAGATGCAATCTGTATTGGTTTTTTTTTTAACATTTTTAATCGAGATTCTAATGAAAGTTTATAGAGAACTAGATTTCCATTCATTCGTTGTTGCTCATTTTCCTCCCTGTCCACCTCCTAGTTTGCTTTTCTCTTTGGGATAAAAATTCTTTCATTGTTGTACAATTCCCCACCCCCACTCCAGTCCACTTTACTAAGTAGCTCTTATTCTGGACTGTTGTCATGCAAATAATACCTAATCATCTATTCCTTTTAAGCAGTTCTTTCCCTCATCTGTTTCAAGATAGTGTACATTATTTACCCCCTCTTTTCTTAGTTTACCCAACCCCAATGTCAGTCCTGATTGAAGGCTGCAGTTTTTAACCTTCTGCAGCACTTCAAGTCCGCTAAACTTTCATCAAGCAAGGTTGTGTTGTCTGCATAATGAAGATTAGTGAGTCTTCCTCCAATCCTGATGTCATATTCTTCTCCATAGAGTCAAGCTTCTTTAATTTTCTTAGCATTCAGATTAAATAGGTATGGAGAAAGGATAAAACCCTGACACACACCTTTTAAAACATGCAGTGTTCCCTTGCTC